TTTTGGGGAGTGGGGTATCGTGAATTGAACTCAGGACCTCACACTTCCCAGGCAGGCACTACACCACTGAACTAAGCCCCCAGCCCCTTGTCATGCCATTTTACCACATGCTTTCCTTTGCTTTTTGAGTTTTCTTCTTATGACCAGCAAGCATAAAGAAATACAAATGTGGTAGCTGATTTAAGACTGTAGCAGTGGATGATCAATTCAATATTTAACTTTGTACTAGATTGCAGATATTCAAAACAATGGGTTTTAAGATCCCTGAGAAACTGAATTTTTTTTTATAAATCTGACTACTGTTTCCTTTAGCCTGAGACAATCCTACCCCCAAAGATATTTTCAGTTCTACTCTTAGTGAATTCCCTCCCAGAGTTGATGATTTTTTTTAATATTTTCAAGAATGATGAAAGAGTGACAGTATTAGAAAAGCAGTCATGAAATATGACTCATGAAGATTTTTCTCTACAGACTTGCTAGAAACAAACTATTTTATTAGTTTGAATAGCAGAGACAGTTAAAAGACCGAGGTCAAATATTTACATATTCATAATACAGCTGCGAGTGCAATCCAACAGAAAGGCCTGGATCTGCAAACACAGCACATGGAGCATTCGTAATAGTGTGTACAGGTTTCATCTTGTTCAGTGCGGTCAGTCAGTGTGTTTTAATATACTATATAGAAATCATGGACCACATTTCATGGAGCTGGCAAGCATGCTTCTTTAGATGCCAGATTTTTAAGAAATTTCATCATGAAAGATGAAACTTGGGTCTGTGGTTATGATCCTGACCACCGGTCAAATCTCTCAATGGAGATAACTGAGCTCTGCTTGAGAAAGTCTGTCAGTCAAGATCCAATCTCAGTGTGATGTCGGTTGTTTCTGACCTTGAGGGAATTGTTCAGGGGAGTTTATTCCCAGGAATACTACTGAGAACTCTGAATATTACACAGGTTCATAAAGCATTTAAGAAACCATGTGCGTAGGAAATGACCTGAGAAGTGGGCAGTTTTGATAGCCATCATGACAATGCTCTGTGTCATTTCCGGTATGGCAAATTCTGTCAATGAAAACATCACGATGTGCCAGCACCCATTGTTTCGCCAGATCAGACTTGTTCCCAAAGTCAAACTGCCATGAAAGGTAAACATTTTCAGTTGATTCAGGACATTGAGGCGGCCAGGACAGTGCAAGAAAGCACACAGGTGCGAGAGGACTGGCAGAACCGCTCCTGAGAGGGGCGAGAACAGTAGAATAGGAGAGCTCAGAGACAGGGGAAGTAAACACATGTTTTAAACTTAAGTACTGGGCTGGCCAGACAGCTCAGCAGACTAAAGCACCTGCTCAGGCAGACACAGGGACGCGGGGGACCAGGGCTCAATCCCTGGCCTGCTGTGCCAGTACTGCTCCGAGGCGCTCTGAGACTGTGACTGAGACTGGGCCTTGTGGCGCACGCCTATAATCCCAGCACTTGAGAGGCTGAAAACAGAAGGATCACTATGAGTCTGATCTGTGTAGTGAGACCCTGTAGATCCTGTACTAAACACAATAAATAAAAAAATAAAATCAACTTAAGTACTCATTTTTTAAACTTCAGCTTTTGATCATGTCTCGTGTGTGTGTGTGTGTGTGTGTGTGTGTGCACGCGTGCATGCGCACCACTAATCTGTTTGGTGGGTCCATCTTTAATCCAATGAGTTTTGTCTATTTTTTGCATTTCATGTATTGTTAATTTGACACTAATAGCTCTACCAATGCCTAACCACTTTTGAATAAAACTGTACAACATCTAAATGTTGCTGCCTGAAACTTAGTATATGTATTCTCCTACAATGATGTAGGCAGCATTTAGTGGTAGCAGGTGGCATTACAGTTGTAGGGGTTTTGAACTGGATGTGTTAAGATGTACATATTTATATTTAAATAACTTATTATTATCCAGAAGCTTTAAACTGCATTATTTCTGTTAGCCTTTCAGATCATAATCTAGTAAATTATAGTTTCTTGAAGAAAATCAAACTTAAATATCTCACATTGAGTAGTCTAATCAATAAAGCCATCATTAAAAAGAGAATCTATACATATCTAGAATTGAATATACATGTCTTATCTTAAAAATAACATGTATTTCATTCACTGCTATTAGCAAAGAGTGGAATAGTTTGCTTTACGAAATGGTAAGGAAGTATAGTAAGTAATAATATGTTTTACTTAACATCACTGTTACCCCAAGTCTCTCCAAAACCAACAGAAAGTTGAATTTCCATGCAATGGTCAAAGAAGCAGATTATGTGAGTGTAAAAGATTGCTGACTTCCTCATGCCTCATTAGTAATCAGTCCCAGAATTCTGAACCTCTGTGTCACTGACCAGGCTCTTAGCAGCATGTTCGAATGTCCCACTGGGTCAGCTCAGGAAGCTTGAGTCATGGCGTGAGCAAACAAGCAGAAGAGGATCCTTTCCTGGCGGGGGAGCAAAGCTGAGAGTTAGTGCAGAAGAGAGAAAGGCGTGGACGGGCTGGCTGCTGCATCCTGTAGCGCAGGCTCTGTGGACTGAGCAAAAGGAAACTTCCTGACAGGAGAATAATGATGCCCTAAGGAGAGAAGTAAACATCTGTTCTCCTGCCTAGAGAGTATGTTTAGAGAAAGCAGCTGTTATCTGCCCTGAGTTAAGAGGTGGGCTTTTTCCACCTCGTGCTTTCCAGAATCACATTTGTGCTTCATCTCTGATGCTGGAGGCCAGCATAAACCATGAAGGCCTTTTCTAAACATTTTCCTTTCTCTCTTCCCCTGCGTCAGCCCGTAGAAAATCCATACTTCCTTGTGAATTGGCCTCTTGGGGGAAGGTTTGTCAGAATATGAACTTTCATTGAAATCTTAAATAAGTGTGGTACATTGAAGTGAGCTCTGGAGGCCAAGATGAGCAGTGAATGTACCCCAAATTTGCAGAGAAATCTACAGCTGTGTCTCTAGGATAAATTATTAGTTTGGCTTCTTTTACTCACAAGAGATGAACATAAAGCAGAGTAGTGACGTCTCAGATACCCACAGGAAATCTAAGTTTGGGAATCTTCTTCAATCTCTTAGTATTTCTTTTCTCTGACCCAAAATAAATAAAAGCTTTTTTTTCATCAGGTTAATCTCAACTCAGTTAGAACACTTTAAAAAGTGCTGAGGTGGCTGGGGGTGGAGGAGTGGGGTTCCCACAAATCCCAGGCCCCCGGGGCCCCACAGGAGTCTAGGAGAGAACCTGCACGGGCTCCACTCGTGCAGAGGGTGCCAGGGCTCGTTGGCCCCCGGGCAGGCTGCTTGGAAAGAAACAGCTCAGTATGTCCTGGTGTTTCAGGAGAAGCTGGAATGTTGATTTTAAATTCTTCCAATTTTTAAACAGTACAATAGATTTAGTAATTTAACAAAAACTAATACCAAAGAAAAGAAACTGAAGTGCCCTTGCAGGTCAGACAGTTTTCTAACACTGGTTAGTAGGTGTTATTCTTTTAAGATTTGGGACTTTAAGAATACAATTTATTGACTACAATTAAGCAAAAATGATCAGATTTTTCTGTTCTATTCACTTAGTATTTTATTTTATTTTATTTTATTTTGAAGAGTAAAAACAAAAGCAGAAGCAAATAGCAGAAACAAAGACAGAATCAGGGTAAAACTGCATTGCATATGTTACAGATTTTCACAACAAGAATAGCTAACAACAATTGCTCTATTCTCTTTTTTTATCTTGAATACCTCTCATCTTGGTGTTCTAAAGGTGTACCATTTCTAATGTCTTATCAATTATTATTATACGCTCATTAATACAAATTTTTAAAAGATAAAAAAGAAGACAAGAAAAACATTAAGGTTTCTTGAAAGCAAGCTGTGATATTCATTTAATACTTATATTTAAAAAATAATAAAACTCACTAGTGACTGTGGATATAAAAGTATGTAAAATAAAGCCTTGCCTGTAGATCCCAGTGTTGTTTAGGAGACAGGAAAAAAAAAACATGAATATAAGTAATGGTATACAGAATGTAATTCAGCAGGGTGAGGCTAGCTCTGGGGTTCATTTCACCCTCCAGATAAGAACACCTTAGAAAAGAAATATATCAATTAAAAAGAGGAAACACTTTACAAAAAGATTGGCATTGATGCACAAGAGTAAAGTATGTTTGAAAAATGTAAGTATTTGCTACACTTAATAAGCTGTAAAATCAAAGCCAAGGATTTCAATGAAGAAGCATGTTTTCCTCCAAAAATCAAAACCAGTTTCTCAAAGCCTATCCCAAAGCTACTAAATCAGAATCTCCAGGCTGGTGTTATGTCACGCACAACAGGTGCCTCCTGATCAGGCCTGGGCAAAGCAAATGTGAGCAGAGCAGCGCTGGTCATCTGCGCAGGACAGACTGTCATGGGAGAGGAGGACAGCCGGCCAGTCGGTAGACCTGGCCCTGTTCCACACCGAGTGAGGGTAGCGTGCACAAGAAAATTAACTTCTTTGTGCTTCGGTTTTTGTAGCTGAAAAAAAATAGACCTGGAGTATCTATTTTGTAAGATCGCCCTGAAAATGAAATGCTACCATTTGGAACACTGTCTTTATCTCACTTATTAGTCGATTCCAATCTTACAGCACTGGGGCAGCTCCAGAATAACTACTCCATAGATATTTGTTGAATAAATAAGGCCAGCGAGGTATAAAAAGGCTGTATTATTGAAGTCTTTAATACTGCTTAAGTGTATGATTATTAAGTATATTTAATATTGTTTTAAGTATAATGCCAGAATGGCAAGTTTCTCTTTTTCTCTGCCTAGCCTAGCTGGAACTGTATTAGTTATTCAGTTTATTTAAAAAAAAAAATTAAAAAAAAAAAACCCAAGTGTAATGACATTGAAATGAAAAACAAAATACAGTGTGCTATTTCCCTGTAGCCAAGTCAAAAAATGAATCACCCCTGCCCTTAATGAACAACTTTATTTATTGTGTCTTTCTCACCTTACCTAAGGCTGCTGTGGTACCATCCGCCCAGACTCTTAAAATTACGGACTTCAGCTTCAGTGACTTCGAGCTGTCTGACCTGGAAACAGCACTGTGCACAATTCGGATGTTTACTGATCTCAACCTTGTGCAGAACTTCCAGATGAAATATGAGGTAGGAGGGTAGGAGGCAGCTGTTCTTTGACAGTGTGTGTATGTGTGTATGTGTGTGTGTGAGAGAGACAGAGACAGAGACAGAGACAGAGAGACAGACAGAGAGAGAAACAGACAGAGACAGACAGAGAATAGAGAGAATTGGTTTGAGACAGTAGTATGAATTAGGAATTTTTACATTTCAGTAATCATTTTACTGTCATCTCATGCAAACTGTCAGCCAGTAAAAAGACATTGAGCTCCTGCCATATATCCAGCGCCAGGTCAACCAACAAAGGAGTGTGTTGCTAGCAGTGACAGCAGAATGTTAGGGGCAGGGTCACAAGACGGATCCGCTGGTGGAGGATGAGGGTGTTCACAAGAGAAACTGGAGAGGAACTAAAGAACCAGATTATATAGAACCTTGTAAGCCATTCAGAAGAATTTGGATTTCATCCTGAAAATACTGTAAATCACTGAAGAATCTTAAGCAGGGAAGTAACACAATCCAGTTGCAAAGGTTTTGATAACAGTGTACACAGAAGGGCCAAAACAGAGAGAGCAGTTCTGGCAGTGAGGGAGTGCAGGCACTTGACATGCGGCCAGACTCTTGGCTGGAACAGGGTCACCTGGAATGGAGATGAAAATGTATTGAACCCTGTTGGTTACCTTATTCACCTCTCAGAAAACAGCAAGACTTAAATCAATACCTTGTAATATTGGTTATTACAGGAATTCTGTTTTGTCTCCTAGTGGCTATCTATACAGAATCAAAGAATAAAGGAGACGTGGCTGTGATGATGCACACCTGTAATCTCAGCTACTCAGGAGGTGGGAGCAAGGGGATTGCAAGTTCAAGGCCAGCCTGGGAAATTCAGCAAGACCTTGCTCCAAAAAACGCTGGGGATGTGGCTCAGTGATAGAGTATTTGTCGAATAAGCAACTACCAAGCCTTTGGTTTGACTACTAGTACTGAAGAAAATAAAACAAAAAAGATTAAGAAAAGGCCAGGCATGGTAGCATGCTATAGAAGGCTGAGGCAATAACATCATAAATTCATATGCAGCCTGGACAACTTACTGACTTAGTAAAACCTTGTCTCAAAATAAAAAATATGAAGGGCTAGAGATGCAGCTCTATAGGAAGGCCTTGGGTTCAATAATACTACCAACACCACCATTACAAAGAAAAAAAAAGTTTAGAAAGAACTATCTAGAAGAATAATTCAGCAATCATGCCGTTCATGTTTTGCTTTGTTTTTTAATCTGTTAACTATCTGTTCTCCATGTACATATTTCCTATTTAAAATTTATGTATTTTGAAGTCCTTTGCTACTTAGCTTTCTATTAATTCAAGAAAATTTTAGGGGGCTAGGAGATGGCTCAGTAGAATAAGCGCTTCACTGGCAAGCGCAAGGGCCTGAGTTCAATCCCCAGTTCAGCAAAAAAAAAAAAAAGAAAGAAAGAAAATTTCATTTAGCATCCTCCGTATGCTCAGCACTGTGTTACACTTCAACCATGAGTTGTCCCTACTCTGAAAGGGCTTTCACTTAGGAAAGAAAGCTAAGGGCAAATAAGCACAGCTGAGATTAACATAACTGCATCCCATGCTACTGCTGGCCCAAATCTAAATGCTTTTTATGTTAGTCAGTTTGTATTCTGTTTTCTTGAATCAAGACCCAGAACACCTGTCTGTAGACCAATAATACTTCACTTTTACCATTGAATTATTTTATTATTTTAACAACAGGAACTGTCCTTTGGTTGTTATTATTATCCTCATTTTATAAGTAAAGAAATCAAGGCAGCATGATGCACTAGAAAACTCAAGGAATTTAAGTTGCAGATACCCCAGTGATCATCTTGTATCCCTTGGCAATTAATCTCTCATATTCTCTATTTCCTCTTCTGTCAGGATTAGTGGTGACATTCCCTGCTGTGAGGCCCATACATCTGTGTGATGTTTGCAGGCAAGATTATACTTCTGTCTGATAGTCTGCCTCATGCCCAGGTGTAGAGTATGTGTCAACTATCGTGTTCATAAGCCAAATTTTCCTTTGGGTGTCACCACCATCACCTTTCCGTGGTATAGTATAGGGCTCACTGTTAAAAGCCTCTTTTATTAATGGGATGAAGATCTCATTTCTGAGCTTAGCTTTGAGAATTTCAGTTCTGTTTGACAATGTCTCTGTTCCCTTTCCATTCTTTTGAGAGCTCCCATACTGGAAACTTGTAATAGTTCCCTTGAAAGTTTGAAAAGTCTTCCCCAGAAATAAGTTGATTTCCTCTTTGGCTTTTAGCATGTGAGGACTGAATGAAAAAAGATAATGAAGGGCCTGTGAGATAGCTCAGCGGACTAAGTACCTGCTTAGGCAAGCACAGGGGCCCGTGTTCATCCTGAGTGCATTGAGCCAGCCACCTGTAATCCCAGAGCTGGGGAGGCTGAAAACAGGAGGATTATTAGGAGTCCAAGCTCTGTAGAGAGACCCTGTATGAAATACATGAAAAAAAAAAAAAAGATAAACACTCAGAGTTTCTCTAACAGTCTTTATTCTTCACTTTTCTTGGATTTTTATCCATAGGAAACTATTTCATCTCAATGTGTAATTCATCTACTTTCCTTTTCTGTTTGAATAGGCACTATTCTAACTCTGAGCCACATCATCCTGACCATTACCATTACTTTGACTGGTCGTCTTGTCTATTCACCTCTTCTGTTTTATTTCAGATATTATTGTTATTTAAGATGATAAAATTAAAATGCTGTTGCTTGAGAGGAGGTGAACATCACGAATCTGCCCTGATAAAGAATAGTTCACATTGAAGAGTAGAGCTTTAAACCTCCACTTGTCTTCAGAGTCTTGGGTTACTCTGTGGTGGTCATGACCAGGCCTCTTCTGAGTTTCTGAAGCTGATTCTTGACTTTGCTCCAACGAATCTGCATGTGCTGCTTATTTTCAACTTCTGCCTTTTGTGTGCATTTGTCCTCTGAATTATGCCCACTGCATTTTATACCACCATGTATTCTTCTTCTCTTCCTTAGAGCCTGACTCAAAAAAAATCTCTGCCGAAGTCCTCCAGGATTGCCTCATGCCTTCTGCCCCGCTGCCTGGCAGTGCATAAATTCATGCGTCCAGAGTTATGCTTGTTTCTGTAGTCACACGTGCACGTCTGCCACTTTTCACTGCAGACTGAGTTTGCAGGCAGGAGCCGAGCTCGGAGTGGGCTCTTCTCCTGTTCCCATGACATCTGCAGTGTACCACTCTGGGAAGCTGCGATAATTGTTGGGGACTCTGCATTATGGGAGGCACTCTCCAGAGCCGTCTAAGCTAGGCTGAAAACGGCGACCTCACAGTCCTGTACAGAGCGCGGTGTTAGCACCCAGCTGGTATTGCCAGACATGGAGAAGCTGACCCAAAATTCTTGTGTTGCTGTTGAAAATATCCTGATAACATTATCTAAAGCTGTACTTAAATCTATCAACTATTGTAGCCACTAAGTTGTCCAATTCTATTAAGTTCATCTTAACATATGTGTAGTAGTGTACAGGAGTTACGTTTCATATAGTCAATTTGGTAATTCAGATTTTATGGCACATATGCATATTTAATTATCTATCAATTTAGAAGAAACAAAAGGATATGTCCGTATGTTAAATTTCTGGGGATTTTTGTTTGTTTTAATGAATCACAGGTGATTTTCTTCAGTATGCCATTATGGTTTCTAACCATATCAAAGAAAACTCACAAATTTTACTAAATTTTTCATGAAAGATTAATTCACCATCCTCCTGACAGATCATATGCAGAAATGGTCAAGCTTGCATTGTACTTGGGGTGAATATATGTCAATCTTAGGCGCAAAGAAATTTTCTCCTTGTAATATAGCTCAGCATCAGAGGTTAGGGGACATCGTATTTGTCACCAGAATTCCCTGAGAACTGAGTTACAGAAGAGGGACAAAAAAAAAGCCTAAAAGGCAAAGGGAACAGGTGAAAGCACTGGTTTCCTGCTGGGCCTTCCTTACCCAGTTTCTAGCAACACTGCTGAGGCCTTGTCCAGGCCTCCTTCTGTAGCTCATCGTAGTGTGCTGAGTACGGGAAGAAAAACATCCTTTGCTACTTTTCTGATCCCCTGCACAGTGCTCTTTGTGTTTAGAGCATCTACAGTGCATGCAGGGAGAAGCAGAGATTTATTTTGACAAAACCCCCAAAAGTATAGAAAACCATTCAGATTTTCAAAGAGATAGTCTGATGCACAAGGGGCAGACTGGCCATGCTTTGGGTCCATGAGTCCTGGGGATTTTCTTGACACTGCACTTAGAAGTTGAATTAGACCCAACCAGGAGGCCTGCTTAACAGCACAGTCCTTTTTTTCCCCTATCTGCATCACCTTTTGTATACACTTATTTTTCATATAAACTCCCCAGCTTTATTTTGCATACGTTATCTTAAAATTTTTATTTCTTGTTAGCCAAGAAGCACTTGCATTGGATGCTTCAGCGTAATTCAAAAGGACATAAGTCTTATCGATGACGGTGTTAGGACTTGTAGCTGTGGTTTGCCCGTGTGTGTGCTCTCTCCCCTGTCCCTCATCTACCCAGAGCTTTGTGCTTGAACACCTTCACAAGTGCACAGCTTAGGAGCATGAAAGAACTGTTCTCCTAAGCTGAATTCCTTCATGTGTGGCTTTCTAAACTTCTAATTGATGACACAGCACCCAATATCTTGTAAAAGGGTAGTTAGTGTCCTGCCCATGCCAAAAGTACCTCTCTTAGAGATGTTGTATATTTTACATCTAAGTTGCCATGATGACCTTTAGAGTCCAACTGCTCAAGTTTGAATTCTGGCCCCGTCCCCAAGTTGCTTCCATTGTCAAAAAATCAAACTAATACTGCTTCCCTTGTAGGCATAAGGGTGAGATGCAAATGCTTCGTGCTATGCCTTGGAGATAGCTAATAAGCATCGACAGTTCCTGTTACTCTTTGTGCTTTATTTTCTGAAGGTTCTTTGCAGATGGATTTTGAGTGTTAAGAAGAACTATCGGAAGAATGTTGCCTATCACAACTGGAGGCATGCCTTTAACACAGCCCAGTGCATGTTTGCTGCCCTAAAAGCAGGCAAAATCCAGGTACTTTTGAGAGTCACTTATATCTCTAAGACATTTTGAAACCTATCAATAAAATATGCAACATATTCTTTCAAGTATTTTTTAATGTACACTAGTGGAGATTGAAAATGACTTACTGCCACTTACCTAGTAAGTCACAGTTTGTTAAAGAGGTCTAATATGACAATATACTTAGTTGCTAACTTTTTTCATTATATATATATATATATGGCATACTAGAAATGTTTTAAATAGCTTTCTGTTATACTTCTATAGTCTTTGGAAAAGTGAAAATTTCCCTCAGAATATGACAGTGCAATGTGAAGAGAAAGTATCACATTCCTCCTGTTCACCTTCAACTTCTCCAGAGTACCATTCTTCAAAACCCACCCAAGTCCCATGCTTGGCTTCCTGGGGAGGCCCAGGGCCCGCTGTGGTATTTTCTCTGCAGCACTCACACATGTCTATTATTTCAAAGAGAGGGTTTTGTTTTCCTATACATTGGTCAGAGGCTGTCTGCAAGGAAGCTTAGTGCAGAAAATGTTCAAGTAAGTTGTTCCTTTCCAGACCACATTTTAGCCATGTCTGTCTTTAGATTCTAATTTCAGTAGGACTCTGCTGGTTATTCTAGGTAAGTGATTCCAGGCATCTGTCATGTAACTCTTCAACTCAGAACTTCCATGCCCTTTTTAAAAAAATAAATTCTAAAAATGTTCTTGTCCATTGCATATTGTGACTGAGCGGATCTAGTAGAAGTGCTTAAGCTGGGTGGCTCATTGGGTGGAGTGCTTGTGCAGTGTGTGCAAGGCCTTAGGTTCACTTCCATCATCAAATTAAAAGCAAACAATCATCTGAGAAGCCCTATGAAATAGCCATAGCAAATGCTGCCTAGGAAATGCTGGTGAGAAATAGCTTGACTGGGCTGGGGAGATAGCTCTGCGGCATAAGCACCTTCCTGGCAAGAGCGAGATTTGGAGTTTGATCCCCAGTAATGCCCTGCCAACCGTCAGCGTGTGAAGGTGGTCAAAACCCGGCGTGGTGATACATGCCTATAATCCCAGCACTGGGGAGGCTGAGACAGGAGGATCACTACAAGTCCGAACTACATAGTGAGACCCTGTAGAAAGAAAGAAAGAAAGAAAGAAAGAAAGAAAGAAAGAAAGAAAGAAAGAAAGAAAGAAAAAAAAAAAAAACTTATGCCTGATAGAGCTGACATGATGACTTCACTTGTGCTTTATTTTTTCTAATGAAGGGGAACATGCGCAGATAACACAAATGGCAGACATTAAAAACTAACCTATACTTGGTCTGAACGTGCATAATGCAACTTTTCAAAGCCAAACTTTTATTCCTAATATATTTTGCTTTGTGTAGCACTCACTTCACCTACATCCCTTGAGGATACAACAACTCACAGCAAACGTTGAAGCAAAATGTACAGGGAACCAAAAGAGAAGGAGCGATTATTGACAGCTTATTATGATTCTCCCACATGCATATAATTAAGAATTAGTGACACTGGGACTGGCGATGTAGCTCGGGGTAGGGCACTGGCCTAGCACATATGGGTACCTGGGCTTGAGCTCCAGCACAGAAAAACAAAATGTGATTTTACTGTAAGTGGACAGATTATTCTTTTGTGAAGCTTTTCAGCTTTTTCTGTTGCTAAGTAACATTTGCAATAATCCTATTGTGAATGACAAAGTATAGCTGATTCCCTACAAGCTAGAGTCTAGGGTGAATATAACGAAATACATAAAGCTTTGATTTAAAAAAAAAAAAAGATTACTGAAAAAAACCTAGTCAAATGCGCTTTGCCGACGTGTGTCTTTTCTTTCTTTTCCTCGCATGCCTCCGACCGGGTAGAACAAGCTGACGGACCTGGAGACCCTGGCATTGCTGATTGCTGCTCTCAGCCACGATTTGGACCACCGTGGTGTGAACAACTCATACATCCAGCGGTAAGATGGTTTATCCAGCAACACGAGGAAGTGTTTCGTTAAATTGTAGGGCTGTGTTTTTTAAATTAAAACCACAGGGGGGAAAAATTGATGGTTCAAAATTTCAATTGATCAAGCTCCCATAATTACTCTGGTTATATTTAATGGAAATGGAAAAATAATGTAAGTCTGATAAAATGTTGATCATGTTTCAGTCCTGAAGTTTAAAAAAAAAAAAAAAAAAGCTTAAAAGAACTTTAGAAAATTATTTAGACTCATTCAAAGGGAATAGAATTTTACCCTGAGATAGAAGAGATAGTGCTGGAGAATTATTTCCTATTGAACATTTTTTTAAATATGCAACTGATTGAACTAGTAGATGGATGTCTTTAAGGAAACTCCAAATGGCTGATGTCTTGAGGACAACTCAGAAAGCTCTCTAATCACAGACCCTTTATCTAAATAAACAGAAAGCTTCATGTAAAAAGAACTGTAGTAATGCAACAACTATGTCCTGTGCTGACCTTGGATGGGAAAAGATAGCTCTTGTCTCACTACCACGGTCTGGCGGTTTCCTCTTGGAAGCCTAAATGTTTTGAAGAACTACTAGGTGACGCGTGCTTTGTCTCTGTGTTCTGCCACATGATTGCAATCCTAAGGCTCCCAGGCGCACTGAGAGTCATTGAGGAAGGGACCCTTACACGCAAAGAGTTATAGCATAGTCAAGCGACACCATGTGGCGCTTCACAGTCAGCACAACTTAAAGATCAGAGGAGCTTGCACCGTGATGCCTGGCTTCAAACCAAACCTGCATTATGAGCAGCTGGACTGTTGGTGTGTACATTGCTCCAAGACGCTGTGTTGCTCAGTGTATAGAGAAGAAGAAGAAAGAAAAACAACACCAGTCTATTTTTCCCCTCTGTTTATTTAAAAATAATTACCCGGAAAAAACATCTGGAGAAACGTCACATTCTTTCTTAAAAGAAAAAAAAGTCCTGGGAAAAAGTCATAAATCGCAGAATCTTGCTTTCACACACCACAAAGCACATTTGAACCGAGTAATAATAACTTCAAAACAAAGTGGTTTTGGAGATGGATTTCTTCCTGCATCCCTGTGGACTGAGTAAATGAAACCAAGAATTTTTTTTCCAAAGATTTTTAAAATTTTTCCTTACTGGTAAATGAGTGACAACATACTGTAGGATTTTCTTAGCCAGGGGATTCTTGAGAGAGAAAGTGTCATAAACATCCCCATATAAAGAACTATCTCCTACAAAAGGTACTGTGCCCAGACTTCATCGGATATGTAAGCTAATATGTGACGTTAATTTGTATATGCAACAATGGTTC